TCTTTGTGATTTAAAGCTCTGAGTGACTTTGGAACTGTTATAGACAGGCGTGTCGCTTTGCACGCGACTTATTCGTCTTGGTATCATAAAAAAAACTTCATTGATCATTACATTATTTAATAGACGCAAAATAGATTGATGAGGTACCCACGTGAATTATTGATGAATAATAGACCAATTGATATAAAAAGTAAGTAGGTATAGTTTAGCTTTCTGCCATCTAATTCTAAATAGCAAACCAATACACAAAATCTGACTTGACTTAGCAAACAAGCAAGCATAATCTTAATATATTCTCCGGAATCTTATTGTAAAAACGTATACAGTTCCGAAATAAAAAAATGTTTACCTTAGTTAAACGAAATCGTGGTACCATGAGTTTGGACTTAGTTCTAAGGTTATCTAATTATAGATATCTTCTTTGATAATGAAATTATGTACTTATATTTTTACGGACATACAAAATATTTGAGTAAATGTGCTGTGATGCCACAGTCATATACCCATCTACTTAAACTTTTCTTGGAGAGAAACCCGCAAACCTAAACGGTACACAGAATGAATCGGTCGTTATTGCAACACAGATATGGTTTGAATATCTGCCGCTTCACCCCACATGAGAATCCCGTAGGACATTATACTATGGAAGTAAGTACACTAGTCTACAGAGCAAATTCTCATGCAGCAGAACATAATCTGCTGGCTAAGGAAGATATATGTCGAAAGCAGTGTCTAGCAGTGAACATATGGGTAAAAACAATACATTTGTTAACATCATGTAGTAGTAGTAGGTTCTACGCATACTCAAAATCAAAATCAAAATAATCTTTATTTCATAGGTAAGAATTACCACACTTGAAATCGTCACGTTGGTTAAACTCTACCGCTCATTCGTAAGGCAGATTCCCCTGAGAAGAATGAGCAAGAAACTCTAGGGGTTGCTCTTTGTAAATAACATTTGTACGCATCCAACATTTACAATATTTTTTTTTATTTCAAACATCAGAGACCGAGACTACTTCCATGTGCTAAACGGGTTATTACCACGGAGTTTTGCCATCCAAGTACGCAGAAGTTGTATAATAAACTTTAGTATAAAGTTTTTGTTTCACTATAGTTTTAAACCTTGTGAATGGCAAATTTTGTATATCAACCGGAATCTTGTTATAGAAGAACTTTGTGAAGACGACTATCAACAACAGCTAGTTTATTTTTATTCCTCGTAGGTATTAATATTATGTCTGTCACTATTTTTCATAAAGAGATTACTATTCCTCTTAACATAAATTACATTTTCATAGATGTACTGTGACGGTAGTGTAAGAATATTAATTTCCTTAAACTTATCTCTCAAAGATACTCTGGGGCCCAGATTGTAAATTGCCTTAACCGCACGTTTCTGCAGGACAAAGATACTATTGATATCGGCGGCATTACCCCAAAGCAAAATGCCGCATGTCAATAAATTGTGAAAGTAGCTGAAGTGAACCAATCTAGAGGTTTCGATGTCTGAAAGTTTCCGTATTTTTTTAATCGCGTACACTGCAGAGCTGAGCCGTTTTGATAACTTACTTACCTATATGTGGCCCCATTGCAATTTAGCATCTAACGTTATACCTCGAAATACAACTGTATCCACAAGATTCAATTTTTCGTTTCTAACTACAATGTTTGTAACCGTCTCTCTAATATTGGGTAATGTAAATTTCACACATTTTTTTTTCTCATTAAGGAGCAGGTTATTAACAGCAAACCAATCAACTATTCTTAGATATAGTTTTGTCGTACTCAATTAAGTTTGTATCCATTTGAGTACTGACTGCAACTACATTATGAATTTATAGTTACTAGGTAATTACAAATAGAAGAATGTATATCCCATAAACAACGAACAAGCGTAATAAGTAATAACGTATTAAGGAAAAGAAAGCAAATTACACCAGGTACCGACTGTTTCACACAACAATGGTCAGTAAAATCATTCATAGCAGCGGAATGACCTCAACTTTTAACTATCATTGCCACACAAACTTTGAAAAAATACCGTGAGAACTTTGCAGATAACGGAGTAGATTTTTATGAATGAATTGCCATTTAGGGATTCCCTAAGCTAGGTGAAAAGTGAACAGATGGTATGGCATGGCATGTTATTTTTTCACAAATCCGCGGTAGATAAAGGAGGGTTGAAGAGAAACATAACGAATATCCCTTAGATATATCCTAAACATATGTTGTGCATTATAAATGATAGAGCGGAGTTTTCATATTGATTACTTACCTAATAACGCTAATAAAATCACAATTAGGAGTCTGTATAAAACCTTGTAAGTCGCACTACTGTCGACGGATCTCCAATAAGATAATTTAGAAAAATCATAATTTGTACACGCACGTTGAGATCAATTTATTTACTTTTCATTTATAATGCTAAAACTATCAACATATTTCATAAAAATCAACTTATATCAATTATTTTATGGTGAACTATTTGGTTTTTGTTCATTTGCAATCCTAAGCACTTGCATCGTGTACCATAACATAGTAATCAATCATCATAGGCGTTTAAATAACTTATTTGCGATATACATAACATGTAGGTACATATCTTCACGCCTGTCTCCTACCGAGGTATAATATAGGCAGAGACCATGGATCTCCACCTGCTACGCTCCTTCTTCGCTTTCCTCTCATCAGTCTCTTTATACATGCCCGTTTATTCTTGGTACTTTTAACGTGGCCGTTTTAAGGAGATTCCCAATCTGATCGAGACATTGTAAGTACGCCGAGGTCTACTCCTCCCCACGCCTCCATCCACATTCGCTCTATAAATTTGTGACGTCAATCTACCAACATTCATTATTTCTACATGACCAAACCATCGAAACATCCTCCTCTGTATTTTGTTCACTACATCATCTTTCACGCCACAACGCTATGATACTACACTGTTCGGCATTCTGTCTTTAAGACTAATATCGCACATATTGCGCAAAGCTCCGATTTCTACAGCTATTACAATATCACTAATGTAGGTACATTTGGTAACGCTGCCATTGCTCTTAATTTGGTTTCTTTAATGTCCTCCCTAACATTTTATTATTGAAGCGCAAAGCAAACGAATACCAAGAAATGGTTTAATTTAGATTTCTTAATAGTATCTTCCTGCACCGATCGGTACGCTTCCATTATTACATTACGATAAAAAAAAACTATGGCACCCTATGAGTTTATAAGAAAATATTAAATGAAGCATTAGGATAATGAAGTTATTAATAAAACTGTCGGGCCGTCACTGCTGTGGTAACGCGCCAGGAATATCTGGAAAAATTATAACCACACCCGGTAATGACTAACGATTATTAGTTTGAAATAAAAAAGCGCGTCTATTTACAGCTTTGCGTTGTGATTATCGTGAAATTATTGGTTCTACGATAAGTTTGAAGAAGAGTCAATATGGTTTATGAACTTTATAAATATTTTTAGTCTAGTTTGTAAAAAAATAGCTGCCACATTAACAATAAAAAAAACCTAATAAAATAATTAATGTTACGATAATAGTTCTACATAATTCTATTGTTAGGTGATTGTCTGATGTAAAATTACACAGATATACTTGCGGTAAAGACATGAAACAAGCACCACAAAATATCAGCGGCATTTTTAATTGAAAACGAATGTAGAGAAAAAGGCACTTCATCTTTGGACCTAATTGGTTAGACAACAAGCAAAAAAAAAACCAAATAGAAAGTTTCAAATGAATTCACAGTAATACCACAGGATGTGATTTTAATGTCTCTTGCGAACACGTTATGGGTGCTTTTAAAAATAACGACCGAGATCCTTTTCTGGCGTTCGCAAAAACGATACCGAATTCCCCCTTCAAATTCCATTTGTCGTATTCTTCCGTTCCGATATAAATTTATATGTAAGACAGTATAAGATTGATTTAAATTTATATATATATTAGATAGAAAATAATTCTAAAACTAACGAAATTTAATACACAATTATTTGAAATTTTAATGTGCGATATTAGAGTTGTGTCTATGGCACCCGCGATACAAGGTTTCCCTAGGCGTGGCTATGTGTATGCGCAAAAAAAAATTGATGTTTCTTAAGCGAAGCCCTAAAATAATAGTTGGAATCAATGGAATCAATTTGAATTACGAGTTTATTATATAACATACTTATTAAAACACATAAATGTTTTCTGTTTATACCTAAACCGTATCTCAGTTCTTAAGTTAATCGGAGATAAGTAAGTCAGTTGCCATACCAGTATAAATTATACGTGATCCGAAACATTGTCCAGACTCTCAGCACCTATCCTGCGCAAGATAAAGTTCAAATATTTATAATAAGCAACGGCAGCCTGACCGTGGGACTTGAGATTACGTCACGGGTATTTTTAGACTGGCGACAGGACGCCGTAGAAAAAACTTACAAGGGTGGCGCCGATGTAGGTGAAATGAAAGGTATTGTAGGTGGCCTTTGGTCTATATTATGAGTTTATGCAAATTCAAGCCATAAGGTGAAGTGTGTGCTTTTGTAGGTACTTATACCCGATAAGGCGCGTCCTGAAATGTACTGGTTCTTAAGTTCTAGCAATCAGGTTGAGAAAGAATTCTAGCATTAACATTTAGGATCTGTTTTAAAATTCTGAATCTTCTAGGAAGAACCAATTGTGTACAATTCCTTAAACATTATTCCTTTCACATTCATAATAATTTAGAAGGACATTGGACAAATAAATACGCTGAAGTCAGAGACCCTACAGGATGCGAGTTCAGCGACGCGATCGACAATGGCGACACCAAACACCCACATCTATCTGCCTATGTACTGGGTAAATACGCCGCGGAGATGATGGACAAGATAAACAAAAAACGACAAATACATCTCGAATATTGCTATCTCGCTTCATCTCGTAGGTTGCGGGCAGGAGGCGGCGCTCCGGTCGCGGCGGGAGGCGCTCGCGCCGCGCCACCGTGGAAATGGTTATTTTTTGTATCTTGTCAATGAAGGGACGGGTCGGGGCGGGCCGAGCCTCAGGACTCCAGTCAGTTTAGAGCCGCAGCTGCAGCTTGACTGCGCTAATCCATATCATATGTATTGCTCCCGACTTGCGTTAAAACTATGAACTACGAAGGTTGTGAAAACATAGTGCCTATAAAAAGTGAGCGAACCGATTGCAACGAGGACGAGGAGCAGTATTATGTTTATGCACCTTTAGAGGTAAAATCCAATGTGGACACGCAGGGCTTTGCGCCCTCTTCGCCTTCGCATCTCATGGACCTTAGCAACGGCTCGGAGCGGCCGCAGCACGGATGGCCTCCTAACGTCATCTGCCCCTACGTCGAAGAAGGAGAGTACCAGCAATCCATGTTTCCGCCATTGGAACAACAATACATCGACCAGCACCGAAGACAATACCCAAGAAATATGTATTACGAAGATTCCAATTCACAAGACCGAGTTAGATTTTACACAAACAGTGACGCAAGATCGAGTGAGGGATATCGAACTCCTACAGACGAGAATGAAGAACAAAAGAAAGCGAGGAAGCGGACGTCAAAATCATCACGGAAAAGAGCTCAGTCGTATGAAGAAATACAAATACAAAGAGTGATGGCGAATGTAAGGGAGCGGCAAAGGACGCAAAGCTTGAATGAAGCGTTTGCGAGTTTGCGACAGATTATTCCTTCATTGCCAAGTGACAAGTTGTCTAAAATACAAACGCTGCAGTTGGCTACGCAATATATAGAGTTTTTATATCAAATCCTATCAAGTAGCGAGTCAGCGCCGAATAGCGACGGGGGAAGTGAGACTGGGAGTGAACATGGGAAATATCTGGCGCAGGATAAACTCAGTTACGCTTTCTCTGTATGGAGAATGGAAGGCGAGTGGAACGGACAAACGTGATTGTGATAAAAGTGCCAGTTTAGTTGTTTTAAAAGACGCTTATTATAATTCCATAATTTTATAGTTTGTTCATATTGTAAAGTGGAAATTAATTAGGTAAAAAACTTTAAAATCTAATGTGATAGTTTTGAATAAGTAATAAAGTGATGTATATTTTTGGAAACGATCCGAGTAATAACTTTAGTGACGTATTTATAGGGTGTTTGGCAACTAAATGGCTCAAAATCTATTAAGGAAGTTGTTTGTTATCGTAAACTGGATAGTGTAAAAAAATAAAAAAATATTTTAAATGTTCAAAATATTTCGTTCTTGAAGGGTTTTGAGTCTTTTATAAAGCGTGAAGGTTAATTTTAAGACAGAAGACATACAGCTGTATACCAAAAAAAAAAACAAAAGTCGTCAAGGCATTGTAAAATGTGAATTCTAGGATATACAAAAAAAATTTCAATAAAATGTTGATTTCTGAATTCATTCTTTTTTTGTGTGCGTATGCTTGTTATTTTTTTACCAGTTTCGTCAGTCAGGGCCTCGTCATATTGTGGAATGTTACAGCACTATTTTCTTCTACTGAGAATACGAACATTGTAGTCAAAAGATACTACTAGCGCCAGCATTTCGGAGCCGTAAATTAACTTGTCAGTCTTAAACTATTTATAAGATTTCAAATACAAGACAATTATTTTAAGTTGTATATTTGTGGTATTTATTTATGTTCGCTTGATTTTTAAAGATCTTATTTATGCTAGGTATTTAAAACAAAAGCGAATGTAACAAATTACAATCTAAAACATTGCAGTTATCATTGTTTGATAAACAATATTGATCGTTGAACTTAAATAGAGATTACAAGAATATTTTGAATGGAAGAACTTTTGGAGGCGTTTCAGGAAGGCGTTTTTACAATATAGTGAGAGTCTTACGAGAGCAACGATAAAGTATTTTAGTCTGAGATTTATAAAACGAACTTAGATTTCGACTAAGCAAAAATGGCGAGCTAAGCAATTTTTTCGTATTTACAAAACGAACTTCGCCTAAGTTTAAGCAAGAAATTAATTTTTGCATGCCATGAGGCGGATTAGTGATTCAAAATCTATTATTTGTAACAACTTTATAACCTGTGCATCAAAAATAGAAATGATTTGATGATTTGAAATTAAATTACAAGGTTTCATTTATTTTCTTACTTAGGCAAAGTTCGTTTGGTAATTACGAAAAACTTGCTTAGTCGGAGTCAAAGTTCGTTTTATAAATCTCAGACTTAGTTTGTTAATAAATAAATGGTGAAGAAAAATATCTATACGCGTAATATTTTTTTATGCAGGTTTTAATTGCTTGGTTTTACAGCTAATCTACGTTATAGTATTGCAGATCTCAGATAACGACATTAGTGACACGCGTACAGCATCTGACGATTCTATGCAACTGTAAATTTCGTATTTTATGCGCTTACATTATCCTTCCTGAAGATCCTTGATTTAAATTTTGTACTTAAAAATATATACATATTAGTCGACCAGGGCAATTGTAACTTAAAAGGAATTGGGACTGTTGAATATCACAAGGTAATATAATTCTAAAACGGTAAAAAGAATAGTTCTTCAGAATTTTAAAGTTTCAATTAGCCCAGTCGAGCTTAGTTCAAAGATGGAAATAATTGATTTCATGAGATAGCTCATTTATAGAGGTACATCTGAACAAAAACAATCTTAGTAAAAATTTTAACAATTCTGCAGTCATGGACAAAAGCACATAAGTCAAAACAATGCTTATTGTCGTTACTAACCAACAAACGTAGTTTGTTATTCCGTGTTGTTTATAATGTCGCAATATTTGAAAATAATGATAAGGCTGAAAAAATACGCCATTATAGAATTTAAGTTGAAACATACGCATTTACCTCAGTTGGTCGATGTTTTGATTTAAATGATATTAGATTAGATAAATGATATTTGATTTAAATCTTATAAATTTCGAAAAATGTGTATAACAGATAATCAAGTTTACTACACCATTATTTGCATACTCGATTCGGACACATTCCATTAAGCATATTTTTGTAGTTGATGATAAGGGTAGCTTCTCCAAATTGCGAAGTATGTGGAATTTCTGAGGACGCACAATGAATGTAAGTATGTCATTTACTCATGGATTGTTTGGATGGATTATATCAGGGTGCGGTGATTTGCACAAGTTTGTTTTGGTACAAAGCCATAAATAAATAAAGAGTTAAAAAATGCATACATTGTTATTTGCTGCTAGAAAGGTTTAACAAGTTACTTAATTCATAGGAACTCATATCAAACATTATAATAACAATAGTATATAAAACAATATTATATACCTACACATTTACATAATATGTTACAATAGCACTGGCAAATACATTTTTCCTAACTACTTTAGTTGTGTCCAGTCTGTTGGTCACATGTATAAAGTTTATTTAATGAATTGGATTTTAAATTTATACTATTCTTATGTGCCCCTGTCTGTTGTAAAAGGGACAGTCCCATATGTTTTTACTTATTTCTGTTATAGTAACCCGCGGAGGGTTACATCAACATCTTGGTAATACGGGAAGGGCACTATAACTTGTGCAAGCAAGCCTGCACAGCGACCTTATAAGTTCAAATCCTGATCTCAGATCAGCCCGTGGACAGGGTTGAATTAATGCTTACAATTTTTAAGTTCTACTAAATTAGTTTAGATTTTAAAACTATGTGAACAACAGAATCGACACTTATCAGAGCGACTTTTTACGCGTGAAAAGAAAAAACTGTGTAGTTTCACCACGCTAGGTAATCGCGGATATTATCGCCCTATCGATACTTTTTTAATTTGATAATTTTATTATACAAGCAAAATATTATTTAATCACATGTTCCAAATACTATGGAAATCCCTTTTTTAATTTAAAAAATATGATTGCCTCGACGAAGTTCAACTGTCAAGCATCCATTTTTCACTTTCGACACAAAAAGTCACCCTGTATGTATAATATCACGTTATTTAAAATCTAGTTTGGGACTATAAGCTGGTTTGTATTAATTATTTCCATTTTCATCTGAAAAACCAAAGGGAAAAAATAAAATAAAGAAAAGGTGAAACAAATCAGATTAATTACAACATAAAAAAAATAAAAAAGGAAAATCAAGAAAAAATTTGGCGACAGCTTCGGATCAAAATAATTGTAAAAATTGCGATTGAAATTAAAATAATTACTGACCGAAATTATAGCTGATTCAAAATTACACTATGAAAGCGTTGGTATGATCAACATATTAAAATCTACCAGATTAATATTTCAAAAACAAAAATAACAACAAAACATGTCTCGAATATCGTTTAGTTAATGTAATTGCCGCGGCGAGGTTACTGAGCGGGCCCTCGTCCGCAGGCGGGTCAATGTTAGACGAAGAAGTCGAAGTCTACGATGTGATCATGATGTATCATGTATCATGATCATAACGCTATTTCATTATATAGCAATAAACAACATCAGGTACTCCATAAAGTGTATTATTTAAATAAGCCGTACCTCTCTGGGCAGACTTTTGTTCACCTGCAACTCTTCTGTGTCTGCTTCCACGTTTTCTCTGATTATCCATTCGTCTTCTTTGAGAACCGTCTGGAACAAATTAAGTTTATTATTGTGTTTTTCGACTGCGTAGGTTAGTTGCTAATTATTAAATCTTGGCTGTAATTGTAGGAAACAAGAGAGATACTGACTGATTGTTGTCGGAGACTGAAGTAGCTTCTTCTGATCCCATTGTATTGTAAGTAACCGCTTAATATTTATTTAATAATTACATATATATTTAGATTTTCTTTCGTATAACACTTCACAAGATTTGGATTATAGTATACAATTATTTTTTTAAACTGGGACAGTATAGGGAAATCCGACACCATAGGAGATACAGGGAAGCTGTCTTAAGAACCATAAGTTATTTTTTGTGAGAAAAAATTTGGTATTGTCAAATTTTTGGTCAAGCATGTGTTGACTCAGATTTTTCTTAGATCCATTTCATTGCATCAAAACAAAAAATCGGGACAGAAGAAATTGATTAAATTTAATAAAACCTTCTTTCATACACTAGGAAAATGCAGCGTACAAAATGAATCATAGTCCAAGTACTTAACAATCTCTCTCCCTGTAATACTGGATTTACCCATATCGTCCAAGTTTAAAAAATCTCACTGTATATCCCTAAAAAAGTTATTTTCAGCAATGAAAACTTAATATGACAATCTACAGAATAGAAAATCAGTGATATGTTAGTGGTTTTAATTAGTAAAAAGTTTGTAATGGAATCTAGAACCCCCTATTTTGAAGTCGGTTAAAAAGTGTACTGACCAAGCTATCAACCTTATCTGCGTCTCGATTGTGCACTTGCTTGATGTGATCCTTCAGTGCAAATGCGCGCGCGTAACTTGCGCCGCACATGGAGCAAGAGAACTTGAGATTGTTCTGCCGCGCGTGCGTTTCCGTGTGCACGCGCAGTTGATACAGCGACGCGAAGGGCCTGAGAAAAAACAAGTATATTGAGAAAATGTACAAAGGATCATTTACCATGTGAAATTCGAAGTATTCTTTTTTTTAATATTACGTTATTTTTAGTATGTAAAATTTTTTCATAAAACAAAACATTGTAAATAAACCGTAGTTCTAAATGTATAAACGAGATGAGTGTTAAGTAGTTTTATTATTTACTTAAATACATACTTGTGCAGTCAACGAACAAGTTGAAAATGCCTACTTCAAATATTTACTAACACTAGTTAAAACTTACCTATTACAGTGCTGGCAGGCAAAGGGTTTAGTATGGGAGTTCTTATGTCCAGCGAGCTGTACGGACGTTTTGAACGCTTTCGGGCAGTACGGACACTTGTACGCACGCACTTCAGAGTGCGTTAACAAGTGGTGATTGTACACGCTGTGTGCTTTGAACCTATACAAAGTAAACCATTAAAGGAACCGTTCCTTCTTCATCGTTCCTTCTTATCATACGGTCTCGAGAGAGAAATAATAGCATTCTTTGTTTTGACCTCGGTTCTGCTAGGCTTTGGCCCAAATAGAATCCGTAAAACATGGCATTCTACAACTAACAACAGTCACTACAAAATGATTTTAAATTGATAAATCGTATCAGTTGCAATTTTACTAAGAACTCTGTGTTAAAGAAATAAACTTTTATTTATAATTCATTTCAGCAACGTAGTTATTTTTCGACCTCGAAAGGCGAAAGTATTGAGCATAAATATTGAAGAAATTCAACTTTTGAATCAGGTACATTAGTCGAAATAAAATTTTAAATTAAACTATTAATAAAAATGTCTATATTTTTCAATTTGAGAGAACACATTTCAAATTACCTGGTGCACCGTTATGCTTGAAAATAACACGTCAAAGAAAATTTACATAGCTTCCATATATCAAGAAATTGTAATAAAGGGCCGCTATTTTTTAAGTTGTATATTAGCTTACTATTATGGTGTAGCTTAGTATTCACCAGAAAACACGGTTATATGAAAAATTATTTTCAGCCACATTAGTGAATTTTGTTGGTGCCTCAACGACCCCCAACTTTTTGTTTTCAAATATAGTTGTGAACGCAATGTAGTCCAACATATGCAAGACTGTATCGTATTCTCGTGTATACAACGCTTAAATGCATTATTTTTACACTTTCAATTAAACGTACTTTTGTTTCATACAAAATCTTCAAAGGAAACCGATATAATTCCTTTTTTTTTTTAACAAAGGACCGAGCACTTGGAGCGGTCTACGTTCAGGCATATAGAAGATCACCTCTATAAATACGTGGCATCATAAATTTCGTCGCGGCACCGTTAATGACAACGCTTGTACGATAAGTGGATGGAAGGTGAATGGAGTATGCAGTGATATTACGATAGTTATTTCTAGTAAAGTACCAAAAGTTCTCATTCTTTTAAAAGGGTTGACGTAAGGTATGCTGTGAGTACGTTATTTATCAACAATATGGAAAGTCGGCGGCGTCATTCTTAAAAATAGTTATGTTAGTAACAATGTATGTTATATAGTGATGAAAGAGACTCAGTCTTTTAAGGTCTTTTAAAAACCTCGACTAATTTTCAACGCCTCACGACTAGTCTAGTCTTTTAATCCTCAAGTCTTGAGTCATAAGACTAAAATTGAAGATTAATCGAGTAGAAGTCTTTTAACCCTAGGAAGCTTAAAAGACTTATAGGACTATAACGACTAAAAAGACTAAAACGACTGGCGTCTCATAGCTTCGGGAGTCGCGAGTCATGAGCCGTATGGCGTGATTTTATTTCTACCCAAAGGTATTTATTTTACGATTTTTATTATAAGTACATAAACGTGATTATTTACTACATACTACTTACGTCATTTTTATTTATAAACTTCGGGTTTAATAAGACATAAAATAGGTATAAGTCCTTTGCAAACAACTCGTGTAAGTCTTTCAAGTGGTTCAAGTCGTCGTTAAGTCTTTTGAGTCTTTTAGTATAACGACTGATCTTATTAATAAAAACTCGAACCCCCAGTCTCAATTTTAGAGTCGAATAGACTTGAGAAAATGGACTCCAGTCGTTATAAAACGCCTTAAAAGAATGAGTCTCTTTCATATCAAATTCAATGTTATACTACATTACTGATTAATTTATAATAGACTACGTCATCTAATCGGGTTGATGCGAATTATTTTTTGTACATCCCAGTTGGGATAACTGGACAAGCTACAGTGTTGGTAGTTACACTTTTTTTAGTTTTATATTATTTGACGACAAGATGTTGATAGAAGGACGGTAAATAAGAAATTACTAACGAGGGTTTATTAGAACTGAGTGCTTTAATAACTTGAGTTTTGTATTTTTTTACCATCCATGATACGTACAATGTTTTTCATCACATTTGCGAGGAAATAAATACAATATAAATATGGTTCACAACACAACAATTTCGGATTTGACAAATGGCGGGCTTTTTGTTTTTTTTTAAATTCTTCCATAGATAATACAACTCGACCTAAAAAGTTGTAAAAAGCAAACACGCCTACAACGCTGCGATGCAACGATGGTTCGTAAAAAAATTGCTAAATATTATACAGAAAATAATACAATTTAAATCAATTATTAGAAATTCTTAATATTTAAGTAGTATGTGGCTGAATTGCAATAAAATTTCTGTTTAGATAACACTAGGCGAATGTTTTAATTTTGAACTTAAGTAACTTCCTTACTTGAACCTGACCTATGAAAGGAAGCATGTCGTGCCACAAATTTAAAAAACTCCTTACTGACCATGGCTAGCAAAGAAAAAAGGTCCGTGACTTTTATTTGGGGCATTATAGTCAAGTTAGCCATCATGCCATCATACCATTTACGAGCAAGTGTGATGAAAATGATATTTTAGTGGCAGTAAATCTGCTTGTGTAAGAGTTTGTCCTCCTTCGCCTCCTCCACTCCATCAGTCTCTTCATACATGCCCCTTTATTCTTGATAATTTTAAACCCGGCCTTTTTTAAGGACATCCCCAATCTGACCGAGATATGTACGCTAAGGTCTATCTCTCGCCTTCGCTCTATAAAGTGTCGTCAATCTACCAACATTCGTTTTTTTTTCTACATGACCAAACCATCGAAGGAACCCCTTCTCTATCCAGAAGGTTTAGCACATACGTTCCCAAACTTTTTTGCTCATCGCCAATTCATAGGCAAAATAAAAAAATTCAATGCCCACCACCACAAAAAATTGTTGAAAACACGTATTTTTTGTAATAACTTAATACAAAAATTACAAAGAAAAAAGATTATATATTTGTTCATATAGATAATTCAGGTTATTTTTCAAATGCGGTAGCACCCCTGGACAGCATCAACGCCCCCAATTGCTTCAGAGGTACTCTCCTAGTACTCTTCTGCGTCCACTGGGGGGGCGCTAGGGACCACTTTGGAAAATTAAGTTAGTTGATGCATTTTTTCAAAATATTTGTTATGTATACTGCCGTGACCAATAAAAGAAAGACGATTGTTCCTAGGTGGATAATGTACGCAGTAACAGCAAGAGAGAGACAGACATTTTTTAATTTCATTTCTTTCAACATTATTTTCTCGGTTTTGAGTTTTTGACACAAGCGCCTTTCAACTAACTGCGGCAGTATTATGCACCGCATTATGTATCGTATAAATTTAGTACTCTTTATAAATCACGATATACCTTTTCCCGCAGTGTGGGCAGGCGTAAGGTCTGGCGCCGGTGTGTGTGCGCATGTGCAACGTGAGACAGTACGACACGCGGAATGACTTGCCGCAGATCTCACACGAATGGGGCTTTTCACCTGCAACCAAAACATTACGTGACAGACTGATCTTTGCATATCATAATTAAAGTTTGGCACCAAGGTAGCAGTTAAAATGCTGCTGCAATTTCGCTTAACCGTAAAAATACAGGGTAGTCATCGTGACTGGACTGTAACCGAGTAGCTAAAAGTTTGAAGTTCAAAGAGAAATTTTAAATCCTGTCAATTTATGTAACCAATTCACGTTCAAACTTATGAAACTAAAATAAACTCGGAAAACATTTCGGGAATGTGTGGGACAAAACACACCTGTATGTATTCTTTCATGTTTAACCTTTTCGTGCGGCCTCGCAAATCTTCTCTCGCAGTACAAACATGTGTATGGTAGGGACTTGTCTTGTTTACTCACTGATACCTAAAAATAACAGATAAGTAACATATTATTATGTTTGCGACGAGTAGAATTGTAAATATACATATTATATTTATAATACAAAGTGATGGGACGAACAAGTCGTGCGCCTGGTGGCAAGCGACACGCCTATCATAACAGTTGCAGTGCCACACAAAGTTTTAATCGCAAAGATCTAGGTTAGGTGGCAGTACTTCCCTGAGCGAACCCTTTCACAAGGAGCTCTACTGCTACTAAATATATATATATAGTTGTTGGTCTGCTTTTCGGTAACAGTAAGCGATTAACGTCACCTTACATTATTATTACAAAAAAACGTATCTTTATAACATTGCACATGAATAAGGCCTTATATTCTCTGTGCCCGAGATTGTAGATCTTCATGCATTAACAGCTGCTAAGACGAACTATAAAGCTGTGGATGCGAAACGCAGGGCGCCCGTTTTTTCTACCGCTGCGCTACCCATAGATTGCGACCAATCAAAATCAAAATGATCTTTATATGTATACACACATATCATAAAGTCTCTATAATGTGTTCAAAAACCGCAAATTACGACCAACATAAAAGTAAACTGTTTTGTTAGAACAAATTTCTTATCTGTGATATTTCATAGAGAGTAGATTGCACAACACGTGCATAAAACGCGTCATTTTACCCGAGACGAGTATATCCACCCGAGCCGCAGGCGAGTGGGATACTCAAGTCGAGGGTAGAATGAGTTTTATGAACGAGTTATAAACTCTGCTTTTCACTTCGATTGCGAGGAAATTACACAAATATTATAATTTAGACGAGGAAAGTTTTTTATATTCTTTCGATAATCGTATCTTCGAGACGAGAAATTCTCTCCATCTAAATGGGCCTTTAAAGACCCATTTAGATGGGGAGAGTTTCTCGCACGCTTCGAGACGAAAACTCGTAGGCGATTATCGTAAGCAATAATCGCCATAAGATTATCGTATCATAATGTTTACATTCAGGCAAGAACTAAAATCTCGCCTACGATTATGTCATACGAGATTCGTAAGCAACTTAATCGCCTCCTCGACTGTTTACACGGAGAAATATGTAGTAAGGAGATTCTTGCTTACGAGTTTTCGACTTGTCTAAACACGATCTCGTATGACATTTTTTCAAGTTCATACGATTATCGTACAAATCGGTTCGAACCGTTTTGAGTGCGAGAATTGCCATTCGAGTTCAGTGATTACTGCGGTATGACTATGGATATATCAAAATGATGCAAAAACCATTCAAATTTGAAACTGCTGATAATATTAGGGGTTAAAGTATGAAATTGCCGTTTTATTGCAATAGGTTCTTTGAATTTTCATAGAATCTTCATGGTTTGAGGTTTTCGAATGAAACTTTTTTCAAACCATTCTGTGATTTTTTTTTTTTTAAATTTGAAACATTTGAATATCGACTTTCAATTGTTTTTGTTATTCAATTTAGACAAGAAAGATGGATACTGCGAAAATTCGACTGATTTTTGAATACGAGTTCCGACGCGGAACTAACGCGGCAGAAACAGCCCGCAATATCAATGCTGCGTTTGGAGAGGGGTCTACTAATGAACGCACCGTGCGATTTTGGTTTAAACGCTTTCGTGATGGAAATTTCGACTTAAAGAACGAGTCACGAGGAAGACCGCCCACACAGGTGAATAACGATGAATTAAGAGAGATAGTGGAAGCCGATCCTAGTCAAACTACCCAGGAATTAGCGGCATGGTTTATCGTTACCTTACCCACAATATTGACTCACTTGCGTCAAATCAATAAAATAAAAAAATACGAAAAATGGGTGCCTCATGATTTGACTGATCTGCAGAAAGAAACGCGTGTTGAAACTTGTGTTGCTTTGTTGAACCGGTACAGAAATGAAGGAATATTGGATCGAATTGTAACATGTGATGAAAAGTGGATTCTTTATGATAACCAGAAAAGAAAAATGCAATGGCTGACCCCAGGTCAAATGCCACAACAGTGTCCTAAAGCAAAACTTACCAATAAAAAGGTAATGGTAACTGTTTGGTGGTCTCAGCATGGTGTTATTCACTATAGTTTTCTCCGATCTGGTCAAGCAATAACGGCAGATGTCTATTGTGCCGAACTCCGAACCATGTTGACAAAACTAGCAGTAAAACAACCCCGACTCATGAATCGATCTTCACCATTATTGCTCCACGACAACGCGAGACCTCACACAGCACGAGAAACCATTTTGACCCTTCAGGAACTGCAGTTAGAAACCATTCGTCATCCTCCGTATTCACCAGACCTTGCTCCAACGGACTACCATTTTTTTCGTGATTTGGACAATTATCTACGTGACAAGAAGTTTTCTTCCCAGGAGGCAGTACAAAATGCTTTCACACAGTTTGTGCAGTCTAGATCGTCGGAGTTCTATCGCAAAGGCATTAATAACCTTCCCATTAGATGGCAGCAATGTATAGATAATAATGGCAACTATTTTGATTAAATAAATTTGTTAAAAATTTAAAAAATAAACAATTTAGATTTTCAGTACAAATCGGCAATTTCATACTTTAACCCCTATTATTAAGTTCATTGCACTGTATAGAAATATAATTTTGATTTATCATTTTTTTTTAAATTTTATAACTACTGACACAAACAAAAACTGACAATTATGATAAATTTATAGGGCGAGTGAGTGCGTGAGTGACTGAGTGAGTGAGTGAGTGAGTGAGTGAGTGCGTGCGTGCGTGCGTGCGCGCGGGCGTGCGTGCGTGAGTGAATGAGTGAGTGCGTGCGTGCGTGGGCGCGCGCGGGCGTGCGTGTGTGAGTGGTGAGTGAGTGAGTGAGTGAGTGGTGAGTGAGTGAGTGAGTGAGTGAGTCAGTGAGAGGTGAGTGAGTGAGTGAGTGAGTGGTGAGTGAGTGAGTTGTGAGTGAGTGGGTGAGTGAGTGAGGGAGTGAGTGAGTGAGTGGGTGAGTGAGGGAGTGAGTGAGTGGTGAGTGGTGAGTGAGAGAGTGGTGAGTGAGTGGGTGAGTGAGTGGTGAGTGAGTGAGTGAGTGGGTGAGTGAGCGAGTGAGTGAGTGAGTAGGGAGTGAGTAGGGAGTGAGTAGGGAGTGAGTGGGGAGTTAGTGAGGAGTGTTTATTGAAAAGTACATTTACTTGAAAAGTCGTGTCGGCCATCTTGGATTTAGAAATAAATGCTATGTTCGTAATGAGCACC